AAATATCAATAAGGAAAGAGACTGTAGTGGAGCAATTGCGTCGATCTCATATGCAGTCTTCTTCTAGAGAAAAGAACTCTGCATAGACTGTGAATATGCATCTACGACTTTGAGGATCCCTGATTTGGTATCTCGAGCAAATTATAAAGATGAACTGTGCAGCAATGAGAAATGTTACGTTCAAGCCCACTCCGTCAAAGAACAACTCGGCCTTCTTGCCAATGACAACAATTGAAAGGCGATTGATCGCTAATACCGTCATCAAATTCACTGCATTCATCCATTGTGCGTTCAATAAGGAACCAATTATCTGTGATGACAATATTATGTCAAACTAATTCAGCAACTCAATCCGTTCAGACAAAACCATGCATTCATGAAGAACAACCCATGATCTTAGATGAAACAAAATTTAATATTTGTTTATACAACAGATTTTAGTTGATTTTTTGTTAATTTAATTGTTCGATTGAGCTGTAGTTGAATTCCTCTCTTTTAATTCCCATTCAAGCGTTGTTTGCACATTAGTATAAGCTTGATCATCCTTCGCTTGAATTATTCGTTTTGTTTTTTTTTTTTTGAGGTGGGGGGGGGGTTTACTTCCCCGTTTATTCATACTATTATGCTGCTGTTTGACAGAATTTCAGTTTTAACAAACCTTGTTGAGAGTGTATGGTATTGAATCGATACCGATGAAATAGCACAGCCAAGTTGGTGTGAAGCATAACATTTGAATAATATCAGCTATTCCTAAGTGGAACATTATCTTGTAGGATCCACCACGACTGTCACTTTCTTGACGCAGAATCTGCAACCGCATACATCGGTTGCCGCAATTCTCGCATTTGTTCCAATTATATCAGTGACCCTCATTTTGTAATCTTTGAATTGAGAGCTTTTGATAATATTTATCACAAATTTTCCGTCCAATGGGTAACACGACACGACTCTAATTCTTGTCAACTACATTTTATCGTCGGTTCTAAATTGGTCTTCTACAACGACTCCAAATATACATTTTTCCCACACTTTGGCTTTTTTATGTTGGATTAAGGGACAAGTTTGTTGCTTTAATGTTGCCATTACATTTTGTTCCCTTGCATCAATTCCTATGGATTCATCCATTCTGGATCAGTTCCCTTCGTAGATTCCAAATTTGCAATTAAATTCTCTTTTGTATTCTCGCTTCTTGAAATTTTCTCATCTTACTCAGCACTCTGCTGAGATTCTGTAATATTGGGGCGCTAAATCCTGTTGGCATCATGATGACTTGATAAAGAGTGATAAACACGAGCAAATTTTGCACCTGTGTCTGGGATCCAGAACGGACGGAAAAACGAATTAAACGCGAATCAAGCAAATGAATGAACTTAACCAGGAGAATGATCCGGAACCGACAATGAATGAATTAAAGCCGAAGCACTATGAACAGGCTGATAAATTATGTAAATCTAATAATGATCGTCTCCGATATCATAACGAGGTGAAATCAAGTGATTTATGGATACTGTTTGCGGGTTCTTAGCTACTTGAGCAAGCTGCTCCAGAAAGGGCAAATGAATCTGGTCAGTGAAAATTATTTCAAAATTTTGCTAACTGATATAATTCGCAGAAAAACCTTTATAGTGTGAAAACCTTTTCCAGATTACAACTATGAAGGATGAAGTGGTCACTGAAGCGAATCAGGAATGGATGAAGAGGACCGGCGAGTTTTTAATGTTGATGAAGCAATAAAACGATGCATAGCAGCAACAAGTTAACTTACAAAAAGAATTATGATGTATGGGAGAATTGTGGACGTAAGCGCAACGAAATTGAACACGGCAATACACCACATCAATGTAATGTGCATTTTCGTTTATTCCACTTATGACAGCACTACTTCAGAAGCGTAGAGAAAGTTTGCAACTCGATGAAGTATTCTGAAATTTTTCAAACATTTGCTTTCTGATATCCACATAACGCTGAGTATCCTCATGAAGCACTAGTCCACCACAAGTTTTTTTTTCAACCAAATACCCTTCTAATGAATAACGGAGTGATTAAGTTTTCTCGCATTGAACGTGAAACAAGGCATTGTGTCACCCATAACCAGATAAATAACTCCTCATTCAAGCCACTGCTTTGCGAGGAGTTCATCTTCCTGCTAAACTCGTTAATAATTAACTACTCACTCTCACCTTCTTAATGGAGTTAAGTGATTATACAGCAGGTGAATTCAGGATCGTTGTATTCGAATGTAGGTCCAACAATGTGCTCAATATCGGGCCACAAAACTGACGAGCCAGATGTTGAGCACACTGTTGAAGGAAATGAATACGTTAGCATGATGATATTACATTCGTTCACAGGAAACTCCCCATTTCGACATTTCGGAAATGGAACATTAACGAACGTTCATATCTTAATGTCAGTATATTATTCGTGAATCACAACCGAAATCATTGCGAAAAAATCAGAAAATGCTTTATAACTAGAATCAGAAAACGTTTCTGCGAATGTAACATTTAAAAAATTCATATATCCAGGCGAACAAACAACTGTGAATGACGACTGGAATATCTTACCTATTCAGCTTATTTTGAGGATCTGGGAAAACCGTTCCAATGGGGGTGCGGTGCGAATGGAGCAGTAATTTTGTTTTCGAATAGCATATGAATCGACTGATAAATGTCAAATAGTTTTTAATTAGCGCACAATCGCTTCATCAACAGATTCAAAGAATTCAATCAACAGATTATTCATGCATGCTCACTTCCTTAGCACCCATTCTCACGTAATCAGACACAAATGTGACTAACTCTTTACCATTTCAGACGACTCTGTCGACGAATGAAATCATTTGGTTGACTTGTACTCAAAAGATAATTCTCTTGAATACTTGAGCACCTATTAATTAAATAAATCGCTTTAGCCAATCAAACTGTTCCCCAAACGCCTCCCTAAATCTTCTCAGTATCGTGTAGCTATATATTCTCATATGAGTTAATGAACAGCTGAATGGAACCGATAGTAATTTCTGCTTAAGAAACATTCAACCTAAAATTAAACACAGCAGAAAAATTTGAACTACAGGTAGCAGATACACAACACTAGCAACAGTCATGCGTCAAGGTATTTGATTTTGCTCGTTCGACTGCAGGTAGAATAATTTCAGAGCAAAATTAGATTTGGCCACAGAACAATCAATTGCGGCATTTCTACTTTCATGACGTCGCTATGTTGATAATTATCATTTTGAGTGAGTGCATGAAACTCAGTATCCTTACATTAGTTCCATTCACATTTCATGCTAATGAAAACGAGAGAACTTTGCAGTCACTTTAAACCTGGATTATGAATATCTACAGAATCTGCTATAAGTACAGCGGATTCGTAATGTTTCCACTCCAGTCAAATTGCTCCTCTCCCATTAGTCTAGTAATAAGGCCACTCATCGAGATTTGATCGAAATTTCTTCGATAACGATCTCGCAGACTGAAAAAATTGGCAGTACATTCGGTCAGTAAGACAACCAGCAATATGGGTCTCTTAATCGCTCGCAAAACGCATCACAAGATTTGTAACTGCTTTGAATCATGTCAGAATCGTGTATAGCAACAAGCAACGTTTCCGAAACATTACAAACCTTGACTGCCAAATCAGATGGCTTACTTGAGGGGTCACGTGAAATGTCAGCAGCACGCTCAGAATCCGTATTCAAGAAGATCGTTAAGAGCTGAAAAAATAAACTTCGAAAAATATCTATGTTAATTATGAAATGAATCGAGCTCAAGGAGGGTCGTTATGAACAACGCTGGTTTTGGTAGGTGCGGCGGGGGGAACTTCAACTTATGAGAAGAACTAAGGAGGTGAAGGGGCTGCGAAGAAGGGCAAATTAATTTGGACATATTTTCGTTCTCAAATTCAGCGTTGTTCGGCAATCGTCACGATCATACATACTGTCAGAGAAGTGAAATGGTGATCACATAGATCAATGAAACGGAACGAATGATGCATCGTTATGTAGCCAAGGAAGTACGTAGCTGAATACGTTGCACGCATTCGCATTGTTTTGTTGTTGGATCAGCTTTGCCGTGTAATATCTGATACCGTAAGTTGAAGTGTAAAACGTTCGGAGACTTGAATGTGAGACTCTGAATAAGAAGGGCGTCTTGTTCGAAACTTAATCTGCGAGAGCATCGTTCAAAACTTAGTCTGCAAGAAACTTATTCTACGACAGACTTAGTCTCCCGTAGAATAAGTCTGCGAAAGCTGTTCGTTACTCGGCCTCGTTAATTCGATTATTGATTCAACCGCGTCATTGAATTACTAAAATATTTCATTGAACTTTAATTATTTTACCAAAAATAATTAAAGTTCTAGGGAAAAAAACGTTCAATGAAAAAAATTAACGTTCAATTCGGTCTAATTCGATTTCATTCATCATTCAGTAATCGTTAGAATTTTTATTGAATTTAGTTTATTTTATTCAGTCAGCAATCATAAGGCGTTCCATATTCATGTCCACTTTGTCGCACCTAGCATTGCAGACAATTAGTGAACCGCACTAAACTCAATAATGTTGTCGCGACTGGGCGTCGCGAATGAGAGGTAATTAGTAAAAATAAGGGATTGAAAAGATGAGTCATGAGATTTGAAGAACAAATAGAAAGGGCCTAGCTAAATTTTATGAATAGGTCATACGGTATCAAAATACGTATGATAAACAAATTGTAATCTTATCTAGCAATGAATAAAGAGGAAAGCTTCATATGCATAGATTAAAATATAAGCTAACATAAATAAACATGTTTATGACGTATAAATTAAGCTAAGAAGAGTCTTACAAATACCCAAAAGAAACAGATGGGTAGTCAGTTAAAAAATACATACAAAATGGGTTGGCCTTAAAATTAAATGTAACAAAAATGTAACACTCTCAAAATCTAATTGAATGATTAAACGATTTGATACAAACTACCTGTCGCTACAAATGTTAGGATTTTCTGTTCAGAGGGAACTTTTTTTCAAGAAACATTGTTCAAAGAAATCCGTTCTCCACGGTATTCTTGCTAATATCGGCGAGATACGCCTGCATTTCTGCAAATCACACAGCATATTATCAAAGAATGTTTGCATCTCAAAAAAAGGTGAAATTGTATTCGTTAAGCAATTTGAACGGACAATGAAATGAAAGAAATGAATCGGCACTAATTGAGTGCACAAANATCGACACTAATTGAGTGCACAAAACGAAGAGCTTTCAATTTTAAGTATCACGGCATAATGTGCAGATATGCAAAATGACATGTTACAAGAACACATACTTACCCTGATGACTGCAAATATTTATCAGCAATTGCATAAGTATAATCGAGCATATGATTTGTAATATCACTGAATATTCCACACTAAGCCGTTGTTTCGTTGATGAAGTACTCGAGCAATTTGATTATGCCGATGCTAACACGTTTACGAATACTGAAAATGTAGTGGAACTGGCACGTATCTGTCTTGCTATGATGCTGGATTTCAGCAAATTTCATTATCTTTTTTCAATAAATCTCAATTAAATTTCACTAAATTTCATTATTGCCGTCATGTTCATAGTCAAGTTAGAAAAATGTTTTTTGCGTGCTACTTGCAAAATTAGGTTGAGTGCCGTCACTAAATGTCCACCTTGTATTTGACGATGCCCAAAGGATGATGCTACAATTGATGGAAATGTGAACACACACCTAATTTCGCTAGTTTCGTCATTCAGATGGTGTTATAGTCGTGTGAAGTATCGTTTAAGAATTGACATTCGTGTTGTTAACAACACGTTTTGCGTATGGTTCATATGGTTCACGGCAACATAAGCAACGAACAATTAATAAGTAGCGAATAATGACAACATATCAACAGATGATAACACAAACTAAGCTCACTCGTTTTTGTCTTAATTTCCGCTTCGCCGGTAGCTGCTTGTTGCATGCCGGCGAATTTAGACAGAGGAAATTATTGCTGCTTCTCAATCAACATTCCATTAAATTGTTTGAATGAAGAGCACAAGAAAATGTTTGTTGTTGATAACTAGTGATGTTTCCGTACCACGTTTTTGGAACCTATTCTGTTCTGTTCTTTTGCGCTCAAAAACGGCTCTGTTCTGTTCCAAACTGCTCCTTCTACATTTGCAAACTGTTCTATTCTATTCTATTTTGCACCCTTAAACTGTGCTATACTGTTCTAACTGTTCTATTCTGTTCCTTCAGTCAGAAAAGCGACACGATAAAGGTTGTGGTAATCAGGCTCGAAACATGGTTTCCAGACATTTGCATTGCAAAATGGAAATTATTTCGGGTGGGAGAAGATTGTCCACCCAGGCATGATGGTTGGAAGAAAGCAGAGGGTTTCGGGCTATGGTAATCACCAACACTGAAGAACAGAGGATTCTCGTTTCGTCCCAACAGTTCAGTCAGAAATTGATGTACGGTTTCCCATACTAATGAGTTCGGAATGAACTGATTCGTTCAATCGAACTCGAATCGTCCAAGCAAAAACTTTTATAGAAGGCGTAAAATGTGAACTATTTTTGTGATGGACTGCTCCTAGAGTTTAGAGTACGACCAACATTTGAATGTGGGGTGCTCATTCGGAAGCATCATAAACAGTCATTGGCAGCTTTGTGAATTAACTGCGATGACTTGCCCTTGATGATCTTTAAATCATTCATCACTCGCCCATCCAATATTTTCCAATTCAACAGGAGTTCTTTCCATGGCTAGTCAAAGCCGTTCAGTGTTCTGTGACGTTTCATTCAATTTTCAGGCAAATTCAAGTCACCACCGAAGATAAACCACTAATGGTTATTTAATTAGTAGATCATTTTGTTTTGGGGTCCTCTCGGAATTGGTCCCCAAAACGATCCGATCCCTTTGATCGACTCGAGACTGATCGTTTATGAGAGTTGGGATATTTCAAAAATGTCGCCTGATAATCGCCTTTTTTGCATTATTTTGCGCCTGCTTATTTTGAAAAGCTCACGAATGTATAACAGCATCACACAATGATTGAAGGTAGGTTCCGAATCATAATCCTTTTGAACTCTTACCCTTTTCCATCATACAATAAGTGTAATTTCCGTGGAATAATCAAAATTCAACTTCTGTCAGAATCGCTTCAATCGTCCGCTCGGCAACAACATCCACATCCAATACCGTATACCTAGCTCAAAAACGGCTCTATTCTATTCCAAACTATTTCTTCCTCATTTACGAACTGATCTATCCTATCCCATAGAACAGAACAGGAACGGAACAGGAATAGAAGAGTTTAACTGGAATAGAGACATCAATAGTCAGATCAAACGGTTCACTGAACAGAGGTTCGTTATTTTTTGGTTGATTAAACTTTAGCATTGAGGAGGACTCGCACAGTTTTCTTCAATGCAAAAGAGAGCTTGCATAGTT